TTATATTATTATTATTATATTATTATTAATTTAGAAATATTTTGCATAATTATTGGGAAATAGTCTATATCTCGTCAATTTTATTGATCTTAAGTAGTAAAACTTGACCGATTCAAAAATCAACAATCTTTTTCAATTTCAGAAAGATACAAAAATGAAAATGAAATATAAAGTGTAAAAAAAGATTTTGTTGCTATTTTTAATAATATTACAGGAAACATCTTATCGTACGTTAATTGTATTTGGTGGGTTTTTTATTATACGTTGTTGATGTTTTTAGTACTAGAAAGAGGATCAAAGAAGATTCAAGATATGAGGACTTCACGACCATTTTATCAAGCACATCAAGAAGCACATGCTCTGTTAGAATCTACTTGCCTTCCGTCTTTCCATCATAGTTACCAAGTAAGTAAATTGAAGAATATTTATTCTGTATTTAAATTTTTTAATTATTCTTTAATATTACAGCTCTACGATTTGTTGTGTGGTCAACCAGTTCCAAATCGACTTAAACAATCTCCTCGTATGAGGTAATTCTTTTAATAGGCTCTTTTATATTGTAGCGAAATAGAAATTAATTTTATAATGGCTAAAAATATCTATATATATACAGCCAAGTCTCGTATAACGCGATTTTCTTATAACACAATTTCCATATAACGCGAAGTGAAAATTGCGACAGCTCTCCTATAACGCGTTTTGCATATAAGATCATTCCAACAACTCAAATGACTTGAAAAATTTATCTATAGCAGCACTTATTCGATGTGTTCAATTTTTGTGATCCTTCAACGATGCGCAGTGCAAAATTTAGAAAAGAATTTCAAAATTGCTTGGCTCTGTATAAAGAGGTCTTGGAAGAATTACAAAATAAAAGTACATTTGAAAACCAAGAAGAAAATTTGCAAAGTGAGGAGGATTTTTGGCCAATTACAAAAAGAAAAGGGTTAAAATGCAAATATTTGACAGTGATGATGAGTAATAAAACAATCTATTTGTGGTACCTCATTGTATGAACCACATGATAAGAATGTCTAAATTCTGATCAGACTGAAGTGATTTCATAAGAGTGTTTGAGTATAAAACATTTGATTCAGAAATGAATATAAATAAGAAGAAATATGGAATAACAATAATGGATAAGAAAACTTATGATAAAAAAGATTTTAATAAGGGCTTTGATAGGCGCCCAAAAGATAATTATATAAAACAAAGTAATAAACCGTTTAATTTTAACACGTTAGAATCATATTTTAAATTAGGATGCATCACCAATATGTATCAAATTAAGTTTTGTTGTTGGAAACAATTTTTTTAGTTTATAATTTTATTATACGAACTATGTATTATATTCGATAAACCTAAATTCAAATATGTAAAAATCTACATATTCATTGTCATTTCTATTATAAAATTTTATTTATTAACCGTATCAATCGCAACTTGATACTTTGAGAATGCAGTTTTTATATAGGTCCGATTTGTGACAATTTATTTATTTCTGAGGTTCCATATAACGCGACAGTGGTTACCATATAACGCGCTATAAATTAATATGATTTATTTTGTTACTATGTTTCTTATAACACGATTTCCATATAACACTATACGAATTAATCGCGTCACAGGAGACTTGACTGTATATTTTTTTAAAGTACTATAACTTTGCGAAAGAAAAATTGCAGATACCTTATTTTTGTTCTCAAACTGAAGGGAAAGGTCCAAGCTCTATACTGCTGAAAATGGGACCCTGAAAATAATTGTACAGAGTCCGTATGTGTCATTAAACTTGGCATCCTTCAATATTATGGCAATCGTATCCTTACTTTGAAGAATTATAGTGATGAGAGTGCATCAAACTTAAAATTGAGACATATTATCTTAAAATAGAGATTTCTGGCCTTATTTCGAAAATAAAGAATCATTGTCCTACGATAGTTTTTCGCTGAGTTATCGTAAGCCAAATTTAGTCGTCGATTATCAAAAATTTTTGTATGCTGTAATTTCTTCGAGTACTTTATATTTAAGTCCAATTCAAAATATTTGTTTATATTTTCGACATTTTATTTCACCATTTGACTGTATTAATTTTGTTAGCCATATTATTATCCCAATTTTGTTACTTAACAACCTCTTTCGAACATTATAAATAACTAAATGATGAGAATTATTTCATAAATATTTTTATTCAAACATATAGACATGAAATTTATATTATAAATGGTTCGTTTAAAACTAATTTTTGATTAATATATTTCTTATCTTCTTTGGAACTTGACTTAAAATATGTATTAATATAATATAATAGTCATTTAAATTTATTAATGAATATGATAATATTGAATAACATAATTGAATAGAAATAACATTTTCATCATAGTTATTCTATAAATACAACATTTGAAAATTATGAATTAAAAAGAAATTTTCAACCACAATTTCCCTTTATTATTATACAAATTTTATTTATATAACATCATACATATGTAACAGAATTAATAATATTTGTTCATTTTTATACATAACATCAGTGATTATTTAAAAAGAAAAATATTATATATATATAATTTTTATTTGAAGCATTAGCAGCGGATCTGGAAATGCACCTTCGAAGTTGGGAAATCATTTCCCGAAGATTGACGGTGTTCTAAGAACATCCACAATTGATGGAATGACTTATCAAGACATATATCAAGGCGAAGAAATAGATTATACTTCTCGCACATACAGCGAGATCAAGTATTCAGACGATAGTTTTCACAGAGATCTAACAACATGGCGAGTCAGTATGCCTCATATTGAAACTGCAGATAACCAAATTCTGTATGTAATTGCTGTGCACAACATAGCTGAAGGAAAGTCCTGGACAGTTTTACGCCGTGACCAAGATTTTTATGTTTTACGAACACGATTAGCAGAATTCCACGGGGATAAAGAATTAAGTGACTCACCACTACCCTCGAGAAAAAATCCTCATTCATCTTGTGCTATCAATAGACAACGATACGAGGATTTTTTGGAGAAGTTACTATCGAAGCCAGTTCTCAGGAGCAGCGAATTACTATATAACTTCCTGACAGTGCCAAATTTGAAGCCTTATTTCACAAATTGTAGCACGCCAGATATTGGCATATTGTATCAAAATATGGCCTACAAATTACGAAAGGAGAAAGGTCAGAATTTAGATAAATTTATGGCAGTATTTTTGGCCTCTACTAATATTAAGAACGATTATCCGGATATGGGAATTGAACCACCGAATGAGTCAACTGTAAATGAAAGTGAAAAGAAAGGTCGTCGTGATCTATTATTTGGAGTATTTGGAAACAATCTCAATTTAAATGTTAACTCTCGAACTTTGCCTTCTTCTTCATTGGAACGATCTCATGTTAAAGGTGCCTGTTCCTGTGTTGTAGATGCTGGTATGTATTTCGTTTCACTTCGTTTTTATAACAATTTTATTTGATTCAAAAATAAAAGGAAGAATTTATAATTGCGTTGGATAGCTACAGAATAACTAACAGAACGAAATTAGAAATAAATATCGTGTTTAATGAGTACGAGCGATATAAATGACTAAATTGGTAGTAAGTGATAGCTAACGAAATAAGTTGAAATTCGAAGTTAACACTTTGACTGCCATGTTGATCATATGTAACTGGCCATGATTTCTCCTGTGATGCCACGGTGGTCATTGGTGACCGGAGTTCTTGTACTAGTTGAACTACATTGAGCTACATTGAATGAAAATTGACAGTTAGTGCATTTTCAATATAATTGCTAATTACAAGATACTTTGAAATAAAAAGTGCCCCATTGAAGAATTAAAAATTGTTATTAGAACATCAGAAAGATATTAGAACAAATCTTGCATCTAGCGGTGCACTCCTGTGGCGTTCTAAGAGAAACATGTAATTTCGGTGTGGCAGTCAAAGGGTTAATCAATAATTTTCCCATTTTACTGCTTGATTTGAAATACCTGCAGCTAAAACCTGCGAACGACCCTAACTTGTGGCAACTTCAACAGTGCCATTTTAGCATGAATCCAAATCCCAAAGGAAGAACCACTGAGCGATTTAATGAAATCGAAATCTTTTTACATTTTCTGAATGTTTGAAGTCTCAATAATGGTTCCATAAAATATTAAAACGTAATTCGTAAAAATAAGGAAATTACAGATGTTTTATTAGATGACAGAATACTGGTAATTTGTATCTCTTCATTTTGCGATATTCATTCAAATATCCTGCATGTAGGCCAAATTTTTCGTGTGCTCGATTATACTGTTGTTGCTGGGTTACCCTGTATATCATTGCTACATCACTCGTGCTTACTATACATTAATTATATTACATTGATTTTATAAAAATCTCAAATGCATTGTTCTCTGTAGATTACCTTCTCAAGCTTGTGTAATTATTGTTTCAGTGGTCAGGCTATTGAATGTGCCATCAGTAATTGCACGAATTCTTTGGATGTTCGCTTCCACGTCGCGTGCAAAAGTGGATCCATATGTCAACGTTCTACTCTATAATGCTTTGGCAAAGCTTCTGAGTGGTGGTCGGGCAGCTACTGTGGTAAAACTGTTACATACAAAAGTATTGGGTGATAAAAATCGTACAAAAGATTTATCGCTTCAATCAATGCGACGCAATTACTATGAAACAGCGAAAGTAGGGTTATACGGTTTGTTGCCTTATTGGTTAATGGGATTATATAAACCATGGACTGAAATAATGGATTCTATTTTGGATTCGTTACAAAATGCACCTCTTAATAAACATCTGGCATATGTTCTCTTAGACCAAATTTTGATAAATGTATTTCCAGAACTTTCGGTTTGACTTATATACGAATATTGGCTACATAGGATTAACAGTAGCGTGTGTGTATATATATATATATATTGAAACATAAAATGTTGAACGACCTTTATGTTCGGAAGTAACTTGAAAAATTCATATTATGTAATTGGTCGTGCAAAAATAATTCAAAGAACGTGTAAAGTGTATAAAGTAGTACTTTAATAAGCAATTTTTTAATGAAATTATTACACTGTAAATATGCGCAATGTTCCTAGACTATTTAAACGTATAAATGATATAAATTATTTATGTGATCAGATTTGGTTGCAAAGTTGCAGATGCTTAAATGCAACGTGGAGGATATTGTACATTCAGTTCAGTATTCATTACTTGGATAATCAGAAAAGTTCTGTATTTCTAATTTTTCGTCCACTTATTTATTTAGTTGTGCTAAATTTCAATCAAGAATGGTTTGTTGCCATGTTTGATTCATGAAATAAGCCAAAGATTCTTTTTACTTCGTGTGATATGGAAATTTTTGTGACTGAATCTTAGATATTTGTTTAAATATATTATAATTAGGTTTATGGTTCTGCTAAGACTCAAACATTTTGTTTTATCTTTTAAATTATGCTTTAAACTGAAATGCTACCCCTTGAAAAAAGTGCAACCTATTGATTTTAACGCAATTTTACCAAATTTTACCTTGCTATTTCTTTCTTAACTCACTCTGTGCATTGCAAATAAATAAACAACTGCTTTAAACACTTTTCTTCTCAGAAATCTGACATTCTCTATGTACAAGGACTTGCATTTAACCTTGAATGCTTTGTAAAATAGAATTTTTACTGTCGCATTATAGTAATGTCTCTCCCAGTATCGTGTAACGCTTAGAAGTTTGCACAATTGCTCTAACAACTATACGTCCCATGCAAAAATACGTTATGCGAGTTTTCATTATTGGCTAGGAGTGCCACAAATAGAATGATAGCAGAAAGAGCAAAGAGGATACGAGACCAAATGGGATAGAATGATACATTACTGGCATAAACATTGAATTAGCGTTAACATTTTAACATAAAATGTAAAAAATATCAATGTAACTTCTTCTATTATATGTTAGAAATAAGTATAAATTTCCAAAACATCACAGATGGAATCTCGACTGGCTTCTTGAGTTCGTTCAACTTCGATGACTCAAACAATCGCTTTAATTCTTTTTCCGACATTATTGGTATAATAATATAAAATTAAGTTTAGTATAGGTTCATCACTGTACTTCCTAAAACAACCATTATTCAGTATACATGTATGTATTAGGTATTACGATATTACTATTATTAATTTAAAATTACACTAATTATATCCTATTTGGTCTCATTTTTATAAAAGAAATTAGATTGTATAAGATAAATTCTTCTCTATGAGATTGTATTTAACACTAGAACTACTAAACCTATCAAAATGACGGATTTCGAATATTTTGGTTTTCATTTACTGTAAGCATGGAATTATTTTTAGCGAAATAAGTGTTATTCATTGCTGAAATAGGTATATAATTATATGTATCTATTTATTTCATCGCACGATCTTCATTATTATTATTATAAATATGCTACGTTTAAGGGTATAATACATTATAGCTCGATAAATCTAGTGTTAAATGTGTGCAAATCTCGGTTTTCCGAACTGAGTAAAGTGATATGTTTATTTATAAGTTTTATTTTTAATCGCTATCTCCATTTTACTGATCGAGTAAAGATAAGCGATTACCAGATATAAATTATGTACTACCACTTATGGAGACATTACTATAACGAGTTTGAAATATCTGTATATTTCCATAAGTTTTATATTATTTTTTTATCTTTTTTTCTTGTGTAAATATCAGTTTGTGATTGTTACAACTTATCTTCCTTATAAAAAAACACTGTCATGTATTTAACTTGGAATTTATGGAATTTATGGAATTTTGTCTTTGGATTTTTATGATATTAAGAAATAGAAATCCCATTAGCATGTACTGGATATCTGAATAATTTCTTTTGCACGTTTATTTATGTTCATTTTAAAGTTTTAATCAGAGGAGTTACTTCATTAATTTACCACTGATTGATATTAATTTATTACTATTAAGTTCTGTTTTATTCTGTATATTTAAAAGAGCTCGAACTCATAGACTATTGTTAGTAATGTAAGAATACATATGATATATAGGAACGTTCTTTATTGTAACTAAATATTTAAAATTGCAATTTCGACATTGCGTTAGTAAGTTTCTTCTCGACTGATTTTAGGCTATATGACTATTCAAAACAGTAAATTGGTATTAAATAGTATAAAAATGCAAGATTATGATCAACAAACTATTTAACAGAATTTGTTAAATCGGTGTAACGTTTTTCATCGCGAGTTAATTTAATATCGTCATCTCCATTGTATCCCACATTTCTATTCATGAAGTGTGCCTTTACCCTTTGTCAGACAATATATCGGCTGATGCACGATGAATTATTGTACAACGAAAAGGAAAAATTTTTGATTTCTCGATATACATTCTTGGGATTATTAGTAGCTAGATTTTACAATTAAATTAAGTACAAAATGTCATTTTAACTATTTACTGAAATACATTTCAATAACGATACGTATTTGCAATAAAATGTATTTATGTTCTGATATGTATAATTTATAATAAATTTAGAATATACTTATTAGCCTAATATACTCAAAATGCATGCACATTGTAATCTACATACAATTTCTAAAAAAAAACCGTGGAGAACAAAACATTTAAAATTAATTCACTAAAATCACAAAATAATTTTAGTAACTAAGACTGGCTATAACTGTATTCCAAAATTCTAAGCGAAGTAAACAAAAATTGTAAAAACGATGTCAAAATTCTTAACCGATTCCTGTCACACAAGTTTGACCTCTTTACACAGATGCACTAGTGTAGTTGTACACTACAATTGTATTTTTGTTAATTTTTATGTTAACTTGGAAGCAGGGTATTCATATGTACTTTTCCTTTAACATATTGTTATGTTCTTCTAAAGATTAAAATTCTTAAAGATAGCACAACTAATTACTTTGAATCTTAATTTTTGGGATGTCTTTACATCGACTTACGTTTTGAGAATGAAATTGTGATTAAGAATTTTAAGTATCAATCTGCGCCTACACTATGTAACAAAATAAAAGTTACGGAATCTTCCAATTTGTTGAAAAATTGAAAAGAAATGGGGTGGAGATAATACCTGGAAAGTGGAAAGTTGATGGAGTATCAAATGATACTTTACGATTCACAATTACTTACTGCGTATTCCGCGTATAGTGCCACCTGTGAATAGTACGATATACTTTGTAATATTTGTCTTAAGTATTTCTGCGAGACTTACCCATTCTTTATCGAGCTTGTGTAGTTTGTGGCTGTGGTGAACGAGTACTTTATTTTTTATGTTAAATGTTTGCGTTCGTGTAACTTTTTCTCGTATTCGCGTTTGTACCGTTTCTTGTTTTGTTCTATTATTCGTTTTGCTTTTCCTTTGTTCGCATATATATTGAAGTGCATGCATCGTCGTATATGCTAACACTGTTTTTATGTTACCTTGTTTTGTTTATTTAGTCTTGTTCGGCTATTACTGACAGTTGTTGATGTTAACACATTGAGTGCTGGCGATATATGTAGTAGGATGCTAGGGTTTAAGAGTGAGTGCAAGGGAACACTTGATCCTACCTGACTGATAATGGATAATAAACAGCAGTCTCGGGTTCAGATCGAATGTTCAGGGTGATATTTGGAGTGCACGTGGAAAGACAAGTGACCGTATCCAAGGATTGTATGGACGGGATGTTAATGACTGCACCGAGTGCGAACAATGAACAAAAGTTAGAAATGCGTCTGAGTGTTTGAAGTAGCTGGTCCATGTAGTAATGGTTGACATAGATTTTTAACATATATTGTTGTACTTTTTTAACCGAATTCAGTTGTACAGCAATAGATATATAAAGTTTAATGTAGATGAAATATATACATTTATGTAAATATAAAAAAGAAGAGGTTTAAACACGACCTTATGAGTTCACCGTTCCGGACTTGAGACTGGCTGCTGCAGGAGACAACAGGTCTTTTTAAACCCAAAAACCGATCCCTTGATGCTTGCATAGTATCGCAGGTCCTTGAAGTCCAAAGGTCGGTATTGACCTGCAACCTCTAGCAAGCTTGTCACCATTGTATATGTAGGATTGGAATGAGTATGAGCCTTGAAAGAATGTTGGGACTGTTTGAACATACAACGAAGGTGACCGCGCGCAAGAAGATCGAGTGGATGTGTATGACAGAGCCGAGTATGATAGACGATTAGAAATTAGTTTATGAGTGCAGCACCTGATCCACCGAGGTTGCGGGGCAAAAGACACGATTGGGAAGGAAAACCTGTCCAAGTCAGTCTAAGAAAGATCAAAAGAGCGTGCCTATAGCGAATCTCTCTTGTTTCATAGCCGTTATTCTATTTGTAAGCTTATTTTATTCTATTAAGAAGCCAACAATACTATCTTAAGTCGATCCAACCAAAATCCGATCCTACATATATATATACAAGATTTTCTTTCTTTCTTTAGAAGATTCTCTTCTTTCTGTCTAATAACGCTCCCTTTCGCAGTATCCCATCGCTGTCGTCAAGTTTACGTTACGGACGCAAGCCCTTCTTTTAAATTTCTCAAAACTATTTTATCGGATAAGACTTACACTAACAATAAGTAACGCAGGATTCTTTGGATACCTGCTACAAGCACTGTCGTTATAGAGTGAGAAATATTCTGAGACTTAGGACTAGCTACAAGAAATCTAGGGACCGGCACTATACTTTCCGTTCAGGTCCGTACGGCTCAGAGGGGCCCGCATGACGGCTGACTTTTTTTTTTTAACCTTTTGCACTTGACGATTTTTTTGCTACAGAAGGATAGGAGTTCAAAGATTTTCTGTTACAAAGTTAACGATATTTTTCTGAGCAGGAATAAAAAATCGTATGATAATTAAC